ATGTCTTTTGTAAATTTTTAACCTTATTACTGTACTTTCAAACGTTTCTTAATGTATTTCTTAAAAGTTGTCTGTTTTTCTTTTGTGTACCAGTTTGAAAGCTTTTATTCTTGTCAGATAAGGAAATTCTAGAAAATAACCCTATGTGCATGTATGCTTTCTATATAAACAGGTCCATAGCGGATTTACTGCATAAATAAAACTTATACACCATTTAATTTCTCTAGAACAAAAGTTTAATCGTCTTCTTTGAATTCTTTTTTTTTATTGTCGACTTTATAAATTGTAATATTCATTTATTTACCCTCCTTTTTTCGTTATTTTTTGTCGAATGGTTTTCAACAAGAAGCGTTATATAAAATTTTATCAGCTATACGACACTTCCCTACACTTTCACTGCTTGACTTCTTCGAAATTCTATCCCCGACTGCCCTGCGTTGACCTCTCACGCCAATGTTGTTGTTGTCCTCGTAACACGGAGTCTGCCAATTGCGTAAGCAAAACCCATTCTTGTGATATACAGACGTACTCAAAAATTTTTTCTCTTTTCATGATTCTCTCTTTAATGGCCCTACTATGTTATCGGAAAATTATGGAAACAAATCTTGATTAACGGAATTCCGCTATTATAGATAGCACGACTCTTTTTGTAAAGAACAGAGAAAAAATTCCCTACATCTACATACGCGGATATTGCAATTGTTTCAACTTCTGAAAGTTAGCAAGTGCGCTTTTCTCCTGCATTTCCTAATTACATGTTTGGTTGGTTGGCTTTGTACACAATACGTCCTGCAATTATCATCATTCTTGTCACGTAAATACGCCTCCGAAGACAGATTACGCAGAGAAACAAGAAATTTTCAATTAAACCAAAACTCACAATTGGCAGAAGCCTTGCGTCCAAGTCTGGACATAAACTCATGAATTAGATCCAAGTTCCAATTTAAAATATTTATCTGATCATCCACATGCTGAGTATTGTACTTACCATTAAAGTCACATGGGGCAATTCTGGATCTCAATGCCCGAATATCCACTCTGTTATAGTCGTGAAATTCCAAAGATGTATCCGCCTTACTTAAGCAAGCGTTAAAAATCACGTAAATGAAAACATGGGAAGAGATATCTGCCAACTGGAATTACTCAGACGCTGATAGCTCGATATTTGCTAAAAAATAGTCAAGAAGAAGGGAAGTAAAGAAGCACCCCATATCATGATGGGTAGGGAAGGAATTGTGAACAGCTGATAGATGTAGAAATTAAACATCAACACGAATTCTATCAAGTTAAATAAACTACAACTGAAATCACCCACGACAATAACATTTGATTAAAATGTCACTGAAAGCTTGTTCAAGGAAGTAGACATCGCCACGCGGCAAGTAAACAATACCAACTAATAGTTTACCCTCAGACGGCTCTATTTCAACAATTAAATTATCCGTCATCCCATTAATCGACTTTGCATTTGCAACAGAAAACCCGAGTCTACCCGGAATATTAAAAGCTACGCCCCCACTTTTCCCCGTGGAGCTATCACTGCGGCACAAACTATATCGGGATTTTAATTGAATTTGAAGAAACATGACTATTCCACCACGTTTCAATAAAACTAACCATCTCCCAACCGCTACCACAAATGAGATTCCTAATCCCTTCAATCATTATATGATTTAAACTTTGACAATTGAGATTGGCAATCTTACAAACGTAGCCGCCTTTACGTAGCAAAACGTGGTATTGTCGCAACTCCACACATGGATGCGCTTGCATTGTCACTACGGAATCATTAATGAATCTAAACCTTTTAATAACCTTTCGTCCTCGTAAAGCACGGAAAATCGTTACTAGTTTGTATGACGCAGGAGTTAGATGGCCATCTAAATAGATACGTGAATAAATATTGGCCCCTGAAACGCCGCTCAAGTAAGTAGAAGGGCATTTCTATAACATCAAACCTGTTCAAGCAGCGAATCCATACGTTATATTTTAACTAATTTCGCTTACCGCCCATTTATGCCACTAAGGCCAACAGTTACATTTTTAGCACACAGCAAGCAGCGATCCCCAGTAGGCAGCACGATTAATATTAGCGACAAAAAATATGAGACGATAAATGAACACACGCCCTCTACGAAACTTCAAAATGCAGAAGTTCTTTGTCGCTAAATAATATATTTGCTATATAAACTTACATAGCTTTCATCGAAAAACCAGTTTTAATTCATATATTTCAATTCTTTAGGTTTAATTTAATACGATTTCTCCTAAAATATAACAAATTTGCCAGAGTACAAAAATAATGCAGAAAATTTTTTCATTTGTTGTGAAAGAACTTTATTTTAAATAATTTTGGTTAATAAATAAACACATGTAGCCCTAGCGCTCCATTGTCCACACTTTTTTACATAAAACTGAAAACCAAAAAATTATAAAATTATAGAAAAACTTAGTGTGTGCTAAAACACTAAAGAAAAAACAAAAAGTTCATTAAAATATACAACATTTAACAAGTTGAATAAGTGGAAGCAATTTAAAAATTAAATATATAATATTGTTTTGAAAACAAAATAAATGTTTCTTAACTGATCTCATTGACTAAACCACTATCAGTAGAATAACTAATGTTTAAACTAAAGGAAAAACTTTAGACTACGTTGCATTACGTTAACACGTTATGATAAATATATTTATATTTAGTTATAAACACTAAACAGAAAATTTATACAAAAATCTGAAAAACATCATTTAAAAATACCTCCTTTTTTTTAATATTTCATTTTGTTTTGCCTAGAACTTTGGTAAGGTCTTTGATAGCCGCTACCAATTCTTGTTGCACTTTCAGGTGTTCCTCCCAAAATTTTTTTCGCGGTCATTTCTTTCTTTAATAACTGTTGCGAGTTTGTTTACAGCATTATAAATTCCTTTTTTGGTGCTATTTATGTTGTGCATGTCATGTATCTGTGATGTGTTATTCCACTCTAAAGCCACATCCTTCATATCTTGTTTTATGATATCTATTTCTAGGGTGGTGTACAATGGTTCTTGCATGGTATTAGTTTTTGATCAATTGTTCATCGGTTCCATCGCATCCTTGACGCACTACGAAGCGTAAATTAAATACTTATTAAAAATGAAAACAAAATACAAATAACATTTTACCGCTTTGAGATCTTCCACTTCAATAGACGGGACACTTGGCGGAACCTTAGCAGCAATTGCTCCCAATGTCGCTAAAGCCCGTTTATCAAACCTTGTCATTTTATTGTAATTTCTTAAAGTTCGGTTTAAGGAAATTTTAACTTTGTGAGTCTGGCCCCTCAATTGATAATAAAAATGACGTTATTTTAAATAAGTAGTGTATAATTACTTAAACTCACTTCTTCCCATTTTTGTGTATTTCTGATGGGGCCTGCCATGGAGTTAAATTTCCAGCCAGTTCCTCCCATAGTTTTTGTACAGGTCTTCTTCTTGCTGCTCATATATTTTACAGGTCTTCTTCTTGCTACTCATAAATATATTTTACCGGTCTTCTTTTTGCTGTTCATAAATATATTTTACCGGTGTTCTTTTTGCTGCTCACAAATATATTGTACCGTCAATCATCTGTCGTGGATTGGCTGAGCAATCGTTTTTTGGAAAAGTTCAGGATGTTCTTCGGCAAACGCCAAACTCTCCACTCTCGCATATTATTGCTCATGGAATAAGATATTATTTTGGTTATCATAACTTTTATACCTTTTATATAAGGGCATAAAACACAGAAGGACCAGAGACAGACCAACCTTTTGGTATAACGATCGATTTAATCTCATTTCCGTCTTGTTTCCTACTTTTCACCCCATAGCCCCTAATTTAAAAGATCTTTTCTTAAAATTTGGCAGACTGGCGGGAGTTGGCCCAAGTTGACCGATCAGGTCAATTTTTTGGACCACTTCCCAAATAACTCATTTTGATAAGTCGTTACACAAATAACTGTGCATGGTATAGAGTGTTTAATGGTCGACAGTAGAAACTAAAGTATTCATTATTTTAAACTAATGAAATAAATTCTTGGACTACCCGAAAGAATGTTGAACGTTACCAACCCATTGGCTTCATTTTTGAAAAGAAAGTGCGATATAATTTTCCTTTCTTTATTTTTTCTTATCGGCTGGAAAGGTTAAAGAAGTTGTATAGACGTACAATTTGAAATATCGCACTTTAATATAAGTATTTTGCTGTTTCGTTAAGTAACATCAAGTATTGTCAACCCTGCATTCGCGCCGAAGACCACAGATATATTTCAAAGAAAAGATCTAAAGATGACGAACGGATTGCAACTAACGATAAAAACCGGACATTACATTCATTTTGTCCATCCGTTTGCTGTCACTGGGTATTGTTGTTGAGCATAAAATTACTCCTTTATTTTACACAAATACTATCGGAGCGAACAAATTGCACATTAATTGTGGGTAAAATCGACCGCTTTCTATTTTGTGAATATAAAGTAAAAAAATATACACCGTTCCTGCTTTTATGTTCTCCCTTCTTTACTATCATAATGTCTCATTATGACCGTCTGCCTCATTTCGTTCTAATAGTTTATAATTCTCGTTTGAAACTCTGCGGGTGAATGTGTTTTTTCCAACATTTTATTAAATTCACAATTTTGTAGTGAACGTTAGTTTCGCACAATCCTTACACTTAAACAATTTGGAAACCTGCTTAGTGTAATTTTATAATTTTCTAATCACTGTAATTTAAACTTTAAGCTCAATTTTTGTTGTCTTTCTAATTTTATCGTTATGGCTAGTTGCTGAGCAGTGCACATGGTTATAACTTTTAATAAATGTTATGAACAAGAAGAAGTTCTAAGCAGTATTTAGCGATTTTACCGGTGAAGTGTTTAGCAAAATTAAGATATTAAATTTCTCCACATTGCGTTTCTACCATAACATTCTTAAAGATCTGAGAAAATCAACTATACCTGAAGAAATATATTCACGTACCAAAAATAAAAGTTTTCATTTATTAGTTAGAGTGTCTTCTACTTAATCAACAAACGGCATTTCACACATAAACTAGGATAACATGAAGTACAGTCAAATATAGAATTTGAAAAGAAATGCAATTGCCTAATTTTTTATATTACAATAATAAGAACTTTCTTCAGAAAAAGGAATGCGTACTATTTTGAAAATTTCGCAGAATTATTCCAGAAGTGTATTTCACTTTCGGGGCTGTTGAATATTAATTTGCGGCTTGGTAAGTATATGTGAAGGGGGTTTTGGAGAATGGGCCACTTGCGCTGCTTGTGGAGTGTAATCGCTATTTCCTTTGACGGGAGCACCGCTTACGGACATTACGTTAACGACAACAGGTTGCTAAAATTAACAAAATTAATGGAAAATATAAAGAAAGCGGTGTCGATATGCAATACTGTTAGGCCTGTGCAGTCCTCGGCATCCTTTGGAAGACGTTCAATGGTCGGTTGTTTATGTTGCACAATACGCATGCCACCAGCTTTGACTAATGAAAAGAGATAATTTTTTAATAAAATCATGACTGCCATTCCGAGCAATGACTGCAATATTATGTGCGGTTAGGATCAGTATTGTATGAATGTGTTAGATTTAATTCAATAAGCACTATTTTTTTTTTGTTTTATATTAAAGCCATTTGATGTTGATATCAGAGCTTTTCAAGCGATAAATTAGCAAGAATTTTAACTACAAGCAGCCTTTTATGCCTACCTGCAGGCGGATGCCCAGCTACTAGATTTACTTGCTCATCAGCCATTTTGGACGATAACTGCAGCAGGTTTGTTTTAATCGATTTTTCCTCTTTATTTAGTTGGTCATTAACGACTAAAAATTAGAAGTTATTGTTTTTTAAAGTCTTTGTGCAATGACACGACTACACTTTTTAACTGTATGAGTGATACACTCTTTCTTCTTTTCTTTACTTTTTCCTTAACTTCTTCACGAATGATAACATAGTTCTTATAAATTTGAAAAATGTACTTTCAGGAGGTAGTGAAAATACCTTTTTACAATTGTAAACGAAATAGGTTTATTTAAAGACTTTTTTATTAAAATGTTACACAAAATACTTTTTATTTGAAATGTTTAAGGAGTATATCTGATATGTAAAATAATTTGAAAGAGTAGTCAAATACAAAAGTAAATAAATGGACACAACAATCGCATTACTTAGCAACGTCCGTAAATCATGCCGAAGCGTCTCTTTATAAGCAAGTAGATTTTTTCTTCGGTTTGAAAGTCAGCTGTCCATTTGTTTTGAATGTTTTTTCACCAAATACCAAAAAATATCTTTTACATTTTTTCACATTTTATGTTGAACTTGAACATAAGCAATTTCCGAGAAAATTGACTCAATTTGCGGAAATTTTGCTATTGCTAAAAATGTGCAAAATTGACTTATTAAAGCACTTAAAAAATAAATTTATTTCTTAAAACTTGTGAGTTACCACCTCTTTCTAATTAAAAAATTTATTTAAAATATAATTTGTGTGAAATATTAACCAAAAATTTTAATAAGAACTATTCAATTTTTCAACTTGAGTCTATTAGAAATCTGATCGTCGTTATTATTTTTTTAATACTCAAACTTGATTTATTTCTTCATTTATGTACGAAGCGAAATATTATGTTGAAGCAAAATTTTGAGATATAAAATTAACTAGTAGCATGATATAAGGCGGACGACTGTGCATATCCTAAGTCATCAACGTTGATAATTGTAGGCGTGTTCTTTGAAGAATTTGGATTATTTTCATATTCTTTTGCAAGTTTGTAAGCCATACCTTCATTTTTATGACCGATGCTACACAATTATGCGGACGGATAGATTAATGGATGGACATAGTTGGGTGAATTCCGAAATTGTGACTGGCCAAGAATATACACACTTTATGGGATTTTTGATCCTTGATTCTGTGCGTTATATGGAAAAAATACATAAATTATGACAGAGTATAATATAAAGTAGGCGTGCCCCATCTTTTTCACTTTTGTAGATATACTGCAACACCGACCATAGGATATACACCTAAATTTTTGTATATGTATCTACAGTAATTTATCAGTCATGAGCAAAAAACCATTTTTTATTCCTTTTAAACACAGGTGTCCTCAGATCAAGCACTACTATGGGCGTGCCGTTCGACCAAGGCAAGAACTTCTAATGTTTCTTAATTTGAAGTCGATAGTTTCATGTTTGCGGCCAGGAGAATGTTTACAACAGGTATTACAAAGACGAACAGACGGTCATACTTAAATCGATTCAGAATTTTATGGTCTTTACGAATACTTTACAAGACCTCTGAAAATTGAATACACTCCTCATCCTGATTACTATTAAGAATTGTTTACATAAATAAATAGAAAACAAGAATAACAGAGCTTACGACAAAAATAATAGCGCTTACGACAAAAATAATAGAGCTTGCGATAAAAATAACAGGTCTTGCGACAAAAGATGATGAGAATGATAGCGATTTGAAGGCAGAGTTGGCACACTACCCTCACAATGTTCTTTAACAATGTAAGCCAACAAAGTTCGTTTCGGGTAATTGCCAGCATTTTTAATTACACGAGCGAGCGTACGTAGTTATATATGTATTCATGTTCATGCAAAAGGTTCAATTCACATATTCGCAACTTTTAATTGCACGACATAAGCTTTGCTTTTTACTAATTCTTACAATTTTTTTTAAACGTGCTCATATGATAGTTAATTTATAGAACCAAATCGAAATTTACAAATTTATAAAAATGCAAACAAATTTTACAACGTTGCAAAATTTCGTAACGAAAGGTATGAGTAATTTGTATATCGACATCTTTAAAAGGTTTACCTGATATTAAACGATTCGTTAACAACGACAGCAACTTGTGCTTTACTGCAAACTCGAAATTTAGTCGAGTGCCGTTCTAAGTTGGTTATCATTCATTTTGGTTTTACAATTTTACAGTAATAATGGTTTTGGGATCGCTAGTAAAATAACAATATTGCTATGAAGATTCTAACATATTACACATTTTGTAACTTGTAAAACATGTTAATCGCTTTTTCTTGTAGATGCGATTCGAAATGAAACCCAAAAGAGCCAACTGTAGCGTTTGGAAGGTTCTCACTTCTATCGAGATTCTAATCACCCGGTCCATAAAATATGCACGAATGCGGAGTGCTCCAAATATTATTTGTGTGCGAACAACTTATGGACATATATATACACCAATAAAAATGCATATGTAAATCAGTTTATTATTAAATTAGATCAAAATGCCATCCACATGCCGCTTTTGGATAAGGCTACGTCGCACATTTTATAGGATGAGCGAACTTCGAACTTCATAACTTTAGAGAGTAAGTAAATGAGTGAATGAGCGAGGAATGCTAGAGAAGTGTTGTGTTAAAGAAAATTCATATATCGAGATATGACCATGCACATTCATACAAACATGCTACGTACACATATAGACATAGTTAGAAGCATATACATATATACGCACATTTATGAAATCCACCCCAAGCATATAATACGTTACATGAACGCTATTTATCGATGCTATGCTATGTCGAATATAAAAGTTGAAAACTATGAAGGGAGTGGAGAGGTGGGAAGCGACATCGTATTTAGAGAAAGGTTCCTACTCAAGATAATTCAAAACAATTTGAATGTAAACAGACTTACGTCGGGCATTCGGCTTCAAATGTTCCACCAATGATTCGTAAAAATCGCTTGTTGTCATTAGATCCAAAAAAAAACATCAGAAATTTTTAGTGTTAAATTATAATTTAATAAATACATTGAATATCTTTGGTTTTACTCACACTACATTGTTTTAGTTTACTTTGCTTTGATTTTGATTTTGTTTCCATTTTATTATGAATGGAAGATTTTAACGATTCTTTGGTTGCTGCAGTGGGTTCCTATGAATGGATTCCTACTCAAGATAATTCAAAGCAATTTGAATTTCAACAACAAACCGTTTTAAAATCTCAAAATACTTTGCAACATTCGGCTTTAAATGCTCCAATGATGATTCGTAAAATTTCAAAGATAACAATCTGAACTCCTTCCTAATAATTTAATTAATAATGTGGCTTTGATCCTAAATCTTCCTCTCGAAGCTCGTTTTCTCTACGATTTTTTTTAATTACAATTATTTCTTTTAATTTTTGATGTAGAGATATTTTACCTATTATTATTACTATATATAAAAACTTCAAACCTTTACTGAACTATTTCTTCCACTATTTTCATTGTTATTTTATTACTAGGACTTTATCATGAATAAAATGAAGGTATACTAAATTGATCTAAATAATAAGGTTGTAGTTAAATTAACATCCAACTTGCATTTAGAAAATATTGATTATTCAATTGCCTTGAGAAAATACCCAATTAAAGAAGTATGAAGTTCAAGTAAAAGATTAGAAAAATTATTTTCATTATATATTATATAAATGTATATAAAAATAAAAAATATATAAAAGAATGGTTGAATGATTGCTTTTCCTTTGAACTTCGCATAAAGTATTAGTGTCTAAAAACAGCTAATAACCAAACCAATACCGTCTACAAACATCTTATTTCCACACAAATTCCGTTTATGAACATCTTAAATCCACACAAATACCGTCTACGAACCTCTTAAATCCACACAAATATCGTCTACAAACCTGTTATAACCACACTTGCACGAATTATGATAATTATGCTAAAAATGAAATAGTGTTGGAAGTTTAAGGAAGAGTTGAAAGCAATTTTACAGCATACTCGACTAACTGGCGTGGCTATATATGATTCCAAAACCTGGTTCTGTAAAATCTTAAATGCTAAATGATTTACATATAGTTATACGATTTATATATAGTTGCAATATTTATTCAAAATTTTCCATTAATTATATTTTTTTATACATTGAGAAAATTAATATAAATAATAAAAGATAGTGCAATAATTCGAGGAGGTGACGTATCCATTATTAAAGAAAGAAACATTTCACGACTCTGGTCACATTTTTCATTTAATTTCATTTAATTTTTGTTTAGTTTCTTGGTAGGCATATTCATCATCATATTCATAACATCATCTTTGGCTTCGAGAAAAATCTGTGGCATGCATTGACGGAGTACGGATAAGCGAGCATTGTGGATGCATTTTCTTGGGATGTGATTGCATACGGACATTATGGAAAGTTATCGTGCATAGAGGACGTATTGCTTTCGTAAGTACGTAAGGAATTATGAGCGCAAAGTTTGTGAGCTAACGTTGACGTGTTGATAGCTTTGGGCAAATGTTATTATCATCGTTGGTGTAAAGGAATATTGGATTTTCCGTGTACGTCGCTAGAAATGCCTTAGTTACGAAGGGAATAAATAATGAGTTCTTTTATTATTATTATTATTATTATTATTATTATTATTATAATATTAGACTAATGAAATAAGTTCGTAGACTAAAAAATAAAAGACGTTGAGCGCTAGCAACACAGACTATCGGCTCTAATTTAAATAAATGTACATTAGATAATGAGCTTAGTAGTACTAAAAAGTAATATATTGAACTGATATTCTGTTCTGAAGCTGATTGTAGAATGTCCAAAGGGTTAATCGTTCCAAATGCAATACTTCTAGCCAAGGAAAAGT